CAAGGCTGAGTTCATTAGTTGTACTACCGTCCCTGATTCCGATCCTTGAATTTCTGTTGATGAGCCCAAATTTTCCAATGCATCTGCCTCCGCGTTATCTTCCTTCGGGATATGCGTTAATGACCACTCCCGAAATCGTGCTAATAAAGCCTGAACCTTTACCACGTATTGTTGCATATGTTCCTCTTTGGTGTCAAAAATTTCGTAGACCTGATTTACCACCAACCGCGAGTCACATTTGATTTCGATGATTTTGGATTCAATCCCCCGGGCCAATTCGAGCATAGCAATCAAATCTTTATACTCTGCTTCATTGTTAGTTAGAGGAATCGTCTGGATGGCTTGCCTTATGTTTTCCCCCGAAGGTGTGATTAAAACTATTTCGAGACCGGACCCTTTTACGTTTGAAGCTCCGTCCGTAAATAAGGTCCAAACTCCCGATGTTGATTCTGACACCATTATTGCCTCCTTAGCCGCCAGAGGCAATAGTCCCGGACTGAAATCAACCACAAAGTCAGCCAAAACTTGTGACTTAATTGCAGTCCTCGGTTTATACTTTATATCGAATTCGCTCATTTCGACGGCCCATTTGGCCAATTTACCCTAGTGATAGGGTTTATGAAGGATATTCCTTAAAGGTAATGTAGTTACTACAGCTATCGGGTGGCATTGGAAGTAGGGCCTTAGTTTTCGAGCGGCGACTACGAGAGTTATGGCCAGCTTTTCCAGATGTGGGTAGCGAGTTTGTGCTCCCGATAAAATTTAGCTAACATAATAAATAGGAAATTGTGTACCTTCATCCTCTCGGACTAAAACTGCACTCACCGCAACTTCTGAAACCGCGAGGTAGAGTAGAAACATTTCACCTTCCTTTGGTTTTGAGAGAAACAGAGGGCTTGACAAATATTTCTTCAAGGCTTGCTGACATTCCGGTGTCCACTCGAAATTGTTTTTCTTTTTGAGTAGTGCGAAGAAACGATGATATTTTTCGATGAACGGGAGATGAATCTGCTCAAAGCTTCCAACCTCCCATGAGCCTTTGGACTTATTTTACGTTAGATAATTGATCCTGGATGTCCACTATGGCCTTGATTTTGTCGGAATTTACCTTAATTACCCTTTGTGATTTTAGGAATCCTAGGAACTTACCCGAACTGACCCCGAACGCACACTTCTCGGGGTTAAGTTTCAAATTATGCTCCCTCAGGATGTTGAATGTTTCTTGCATAAGCTTCAAGTGGTCACCTGCATTCAAAGACTTAATGAGCATATCGTCTATGTATACTTCCATAGTCTTTCCTATTTGTTTTCAAACATCTTATTCACGAGCCATTGATAAGTGGCTCCGGCGTTTTTAGCCCGAAGGGCATCATATTGTAACAATATATACCAAAATTCGTTATAAATGAAGTCTTTTCCTGATCTTCTAGGTTCATCTTGATTTGATTATACCCAAAATAAGCATCGAGGAAACTCATTAGCTCATGCCCGGCCGTAACATCAATCATCTGATCGATATTTGGCAATGGGAATGAGTCTTTCAGGTACGCTTTATTAAGATCCTTATAATGTACGCACATGCGAAATTTATTATTCTTCTTAGGTACTACTACTACGTTGTCTAGCCAGTCTGGATATCTTACCTCTCGGATTGAACCAATCTTAAGTAAACGAGTTACCTCTTCTTTGATGAATTTATTCCTTGCTTCAGCAGTAGGGCGCTTCTTTTGCCTTAACGGAGATATGTTGGGATCCAAGCTTAACGTGTGTACGACTATCTCCGTTGGGATGCCTGTCATATCTTCGTGCGATCATGCAAAACAATCAGTGTTAATTTTAAGGAATTCAATAAAAGCATACCTGTGCTATGGGTGCAGTCCTGTTCCCAAATGGAATTTCCTTTCTAGGAATTCAACAATGCAACCTGCTCCAGTTCCTCTACCATGGACTTCATCGCGTCCGTCTCCTCCGGTACTTGAAAATACCTTGGTACCCGATATTGTTCCGACTCTTCTATCTTCGGGTTAGTTTCCTCTAGTTCGTGGGCAGGTGCAGGTTTCAGTAATTGCTATGCCACACGTTCCTTTCCTTTGCTACTGGAAACTGAAATTGCATTCCTTTCCCTTGCTGTCGGTTGATCACCCCTTATCTGTTTGATCCCATCGAGTGTCGAAACTTTTAACAATTGGTGATATGTTGAAGGCACGACTTTCATCTCATGTAGCCATGGCCTTCCCAAGATGATGTTATATCCCATGTATCCGTTTACCACTTCGAAGAGCGTTGTCTTCATTACTCCCTCAGTGTTCGTGAGCATCAAAATTTTTCCCCGGGTTGTCACGCTTGCGAGGTTGAATCCAGCGAGGAGTTTTGTTGCCGGGACAATCCAGCGAGCATCAAAAGTTTAGCTTGCTCCAGTACTCTCCATTGTATGATATAAGCTGAACTTCTTGGATCCACTAAAACAAGTTTAATTTTAAAATTTAACACATTTAAAGAAATTACTAGCGCGTCATTGTGCGGTAGTAGTAATCCGTCTGCATCTTCATTTGTGAACATGATATCAGGTGTCCCAGAGACTTTTACTATGAGTTATCGATACTTTTGTCTTATTTGCTGCCGAAAAGGTGACCCTATTAATTTCATTCCCTCCGAAGATCATGTTAATCTTTTGGCGTGGAGGTTCTTCTCCTGCTTTCGAGGTTTCCGCATCGCCTCTGTTCCGACCATAGTTGTTTTTAGCTCGATCGCTCAAGAATTCCATGAGGAGACCATTTTTTAACAATGTTGCCACTTCTTTCCGGAGGTGTCAGCAGTCCCCAGTCCGGTGGCTGTTAGTGCCATGGTATTCACACCATAAATTGGGATCCCTCTAGCTGGGATCATATTTCATAGGTCTTGGGAATCATGCCTCTTTGATATTCCTCATGGCCGACACCAATTCTACGATAGTGACATTGAAGTTATATTCTAATAACTTTGGGTAAGAAGAATCTCGCAACCCCGAGATTTCTCTATCCTGCAACGATCTGTTGTTCCGGCCACGATCGGTCCTTCTATCAACGGTGAACCTGTCTGCTGTCCGGAAGTTCCTGCCACGACCTTCTGTCCGCTCGTAGGGTAAAAAATCGGCCTCTCTAAGTCCATCTATCTGTGTCAATATCATCTTTCATTATTTCTCTGTTCTTCTCCCGTCCTTTGGTCGACGATGGGAAGCCAACCTGATCATCTTCGATCTTTATTTTTGACTCGTACAGGTTGTGGACATCCGCCCAAGTCGTCGCATGAAACTCGAGCAGACGCTCCTTCAAATTTCGGGAAGCGTCCGAACTTCTCTGATTTAAACCTTTGGTGAATGCTTCAGCTGCTTATTCATCCGGGACCGCCGGTTGAAACATCCTTTCTTTCTGGAACCGGGTGACGTACTCTCGTAATAACTCGAACTCTCCCTGTGTGATCCTGAATATGTTGGCCTTTCGGGCCTACACCTTTCTGGCGCTGGCATAAGCCTTGATGAAAGAATCCGCGAGCATCTTAAAGAAATCTATGGAATGCTCGGAAAATAGTGAATACCACATTAAAGCTCACTTCCTGAGAGTCTCACCAAATTTCTTCAACAACACGGACTCAATATCGTGAGGAGCCAAATTATTTCCTTTCACTGCCGTTATATAAGTGGTAATGTGCTCATACGGATCTGAAGTTCCGTCATACTTCGGTACTTCGGGCATTTTGAAATGCTTCGGGATTAATTTCGGGGCCGCACTCAGTTTGTACGGTAAATGAATATACTTCTTCGAGTTCGGGTCCTTCAATATTGGTGGTGCGCCAGGGATTTGATTCATGCGTGCATTTACTTCCTCCATGAACAGCAAAAGTTCCTTCTTGAACAGATCGTTATCGTTGTTGAGGACGGATCTACTCCCCCCGGACCCATCGGAGCCAACTTCGTCCCTGGGGGTGTTGTTGTCGACTCTCCACGTCGTTTGGTTTACGGGAACCTCGGGAGGAATTGGATCTCGCCTGTTCACATTATTTGAAGCACCTGATAACGCCTGCTTTAGTTCCATCATAACCTGATCCTGCCGCGTGAGATGGCCTAGAATGATTGTATGTTGCTCTTGCAGGACCCTCACTGCACTCGCTACATGCTCCTCATCAGCATCATCAGAAGTTCTCTCCCAGACCTGTCGATGGGTATAGCCCGTCATGCATCGGTGAAGTGTCGTTCTCCTCATTGCGAGTGTCACTGATTGTATCCTCGAAATGAGGCTGCTCCCCTTGAATTTCAGGGTTGCGTGTGTTGTTAATAATGTTGTCTGCCATTTCTTTTGTGATTTTTGCTAAGACAAAAATAATCAAACTTGTTAGTAAAAAGGCTAGGATCAATTCAATTGCACGGCTGTCTAGGCCCCACGGTGGGCGCCAAGCTGTTTACCCGAAAAATAATACAGTTGAATTTGTTTGTGGTTTCTAGACAAGTGAATTAATTTGATCCAAAAAGTAATGAAATAACTGATGAAATGTAAAATACTTAGTCTTAGAACGTAGATGAAATAGTAGAGCTAATGATTCCGGGAACAAGGTTTCCGGATACAACAATGATAAGATCAAAAGCGAGAGAATAAAATTGTATTAAAATATTGTATAGAATGTAGTGTAAGTTAGCTAGAAAATTCGTCCCCTTACAGTGATAACTGAGCTCTCTATTTATAGCTATGTCTAGGGAATGAAGTCCTAGGATCATGACATTCTTTAATGTTAATTATGAGAGCCATTGATGAAGATGTAACGTTAGACATGAATGCCAAATTTCTTGTAACGAGCTATCATCCTTAATGCTACAAAATATTTCATATTAAATGTTACCAGGCGCAAAGCATTTAATACTTGATCGTTGTTCCTTCCGATGACAAGCAAAATAGCTATGTTCGATCCATCTTGTGTTCCACGTGTCATGTCATATTTTTCCTTATACAGTTTTACTCCAAAATTATCTGATTATTTCCATTGTTGAAAACGCTCATTACCTGCCAATTGCAACATCTTCGCCATAATTTTATCAAGAAATGGTAAGTATACTCTAATTTATTTCAAAATCATTTTCCCCCATAATCATTTAATTAGCTTTTGGGGATTTTGCTATTGACTCTTTTCATCTCCGCAACATGAAATTCATCGACGTGTTAGTGAGAAAGTAATTAAGATGATTTATATTTGATCTTTGTGAAATAACTAAAGGCTAGGTTTAGATTAAGTCACAAATATGTGCAGATTAATGAACAAATGAAACCTTTGTGGATGTTTCCCCCAGATTTGTATGCCATGCAATCTGTAATTTTTTAACTTTATTTCTCACATCTTGTGTTATAACTTTATGGGTTTTGAATTTTTGAAAAGATAGCTTATTATGTTCGTGATAAATTATATTTACATAGTGGATTTTAAAATACAACAATAGGGCATGGGTCAAAGGTACTGTGTTTTGCCAAACCTGTAAGCAGAATTGTAGCTCCGCCTCTGCATGTGCCTGTTTTAATATATAATGATGCTTCAATTCATCAAGCAATTTGAGATGGCATACTTATTGGAAGTTGGAACCTTGCATATGTTGGCTTTATAATTTTCTTATCAGTGTGTTTTTTAATCTTACATGACATATATTTTCTTAATTCTGCAGCTATGAAACCTTTATCTTTTTTTTGGTTGGTAAAGTTAAAGAACATATCATCTAAACAAGTATGTGGGAAGTTATCAGATTGATTTCTATTGACCATTCAATTTTTATGATGTATATAGCCTAGACAGAATTTGAGAAAAGTTGTCCTACAGAATCCATTTTTAATTTTAAAGAGTGACGTTTGCTAATATCGAATTCAATATACCTATAGCAATTTTATGTTTTACAGGAAAAAAGAAGGTAAAGAATGAGATGTTTATTCCATTTTATAGCAACTTTCGAGTAAGGAAGGAGCAGTAAAGGTCAATTAATCCAGGAAGCGCATGCCAAGCATACAAGAGAACCATCAAGTCACAAATTTGGTGAGTGATTATTGTTAATCATATTTATTAATATGATGAACATGATATAACTTGCTTTAGATGTAGATGAATTGGTTTACAGAAAGTAATTACCCCCTCAAAACGACCCAAAAAATCTGGTGATGACATATTTCCATCTACTATATGAACCTTTTATCCAGGGAAGAATTCTTTTCCAACTGGCTCATCCAAGTATTTTAGTGTTTATCTCTTGTATTTTTAGGGAGCACTAAATTAGCTGCTTCATGAGCTTTCTAGTATGATTTCTCAGCAGTTATCTGCCCCACGTAGTTAGCAACATGAGCTTAATAAGTACTATTCTCTAAACAAGGCGGGTATATCCATATAAATTGTCACTCTTTTTCTGTTTGTTCAATTTTCAGACGAGGAGATATGGTAGAGGTGCAAGCGGGTGGTGGCAACACCACGGGAGGTGGAGGCCGCCATGAGGTCCTCCAATTTGCCTTACATGTGGTTCGAGGTCGATGGTTCTCACTTTTTGCCTCTTTCCTCATCATGGCTGGAGCAGGGGCTACTTACCTTTTCGGGACATATTCCAAGGAAATAAAAGGCTCTCTAGGATATGATCAGACCACGCTTAATCTCTTGGGATTCTTCAAGGATCTTGGAGCTAATGTTGGAGTTCTGTCCGGCCTGATAGCCGAGGTAACTCCAACATGGTTTGTGCTGCTAGTTGGCGCGGCCATGAATTTTACAGGTTACCTTATGATATGGCTTGCTGTTGTTGGCAAGATTTCAAAGCCAAAAGTTTGGAAAATGTGCATATACATATGCCTTGGAGCCAATTCTCAGAATTTTGCAAATACAGGAGCTCTTGTGACCTCTATTAGGAACTTCCCCGAGAGTAGAGGTAACATGATAGGCCTTTTAAAAGGATTTACAGGGCTAAGTGGAGCTATAATGACACAACTATACTTAGCTGTCTATGGAAATGATTCTCAATCACTTATACTCTTAATTGCCTGGCTTCCGGCTGCACTATCTGTAGTATTTGTCTATACTATTCGAGAAATGAAAGTCGTTAGGCAGCCAAATCAGCAAACGGTTTTCTTCTATTGCTTGATAATATCAATTGTGCTAGCAGTGTTTCTGATGGTCATGACACTGGTCGAGAAAGCTATAGCTTTTTCCCATGCTGCCTATGTTGGAACAGCCACTGTGGCATGTGCTTTACTTTTTCTCCCTCTTTTGGTATTCATTAGAGAAGAGTTGATTCTCTGGCGTCAAAAGAAATTGCTCCTGGGTCCTCCCAAAATGGTTGCTGAGAATCCGCCAGCATCGGTGGAGAGCGAGCTGAAAGCAATCCCCGAACTACCTCAAATATCAGAAACCAAGAAAGAATTCAACTCGAAGAGCTCCTGGCTCACGGATATTTTCTTGAATAAACCAGCTAGAGGGGAAGATTATACAATCTTACAAGCACTCCTAAGTACTGATATGTTGATTCTGTTTCTGGCTACATTCTGCGGACTTGGATCAAGCCTAACCGCAGTTGATAACTTGGGTCAGATAGGAGAATCATTAGGATATCCAACAACCACCATTAAGTCCTTTGTGTCACTTCTCAGCATATGGAATTTCTTTGGGAGAATATTTGCAGGATTTGTGTCTGAAAGCCTACTTGTCAGGTTCAAGTTTCCTAGGCCCCTTATGATGACATTAGTCCTCTTGCTCTCGTGCATCGGCCTCCTTTTCATCGCCTTCCCCTTCCCAGGTTCAGTGTACGTGGCATCTTTAATCATCGGTTTCTCATTTGGTGCACAGTTGCCATTACTTTTTACAATCATTTCTGAGCTTTTTGGCCTGAAGTACTATTCCACATTATTCAACTGTGGGCAATTGGCTAGCCCTCTTGGATCATACATCCTGAATGTGAGAGTGACTGGACCTCTTTATGATAGAGAAGCATTGAGGGATCTTGAGAAAAAAGGCTTGACTAGAGCATCTGTCAAAGAGTTGACTTGTATGGGTAACCAATGTTATCGGTTGGCTTTCATAATCTTGGCTGGTGTCACATTCTTTGGTGCTCTAGCTTCATTGATTTTGGTTGCAAGAACTCGACAATTTTACAAAGGGGATATATACAAGAAGTTTAGAGAGCAAGCAGAGGCAGCAGATACAGAAATGGCTTCACCAAACAGTACTAAGACACGGTGAGAAATCAAAGAAATTGGGAAAAAAGCATAATTAAGTCACAGAAAAACACAAATAGCACCCTAACATGAGGGACAAACAAAAACAATGTTGGCCTTATTTTGAGATTTTGTTAGTTCTCTTTTTTGTATATCATCATTGGACCGAGGCGGGCTTAAATGGAGCGACATGAATTATGAGGACTTACATGGCACATCTACATAGACTCAGGGATGCGGTCAGTTAAACACCCTTCGTCGAAAATTTATAATGTGTATGTAGGTCAAATATAGTTACCTTTTTATACGTACATATCAAATAGTGAATACCGTAAGGGTAATTCCTGGCTCGCCACTTTATATAGTTGACTGGATACTTGCTTAGGATTTAGTAATAGTAGTAATTGTAGTAATGCTAGTTGTTACTCTTTCCTGTATATATAATACTATTTCAGGGGAGGGAGAGTAGGAGCTACGGGTTCGGCCGAATTTAGTGACTTTGGTGCAAACCATGTATTTGTCTTAAAAAATTCATTCATTATTTATAAATTATTAATTTAGAACCCACTAACATATAAAATTTAGAATCCCGACTCTAAAGGCTTCAAATTCTGGCTGCGCTTCTATGCTGATTTAGGATTATTAGTAGTAGTACTAGTTGTTGTTACTCTTTCCTGTATATACTGTGCTGCTATAATTTCCTTATATGTGATTACCTCTGAAGGGAAAATAGAAAATCTTTGCTGATTTATTTTCTTATCTATTCATCACTAAAAAAAGGTTGCCTAATTAAGTGAAAATTGGCATTAAGAATTGTGAATTTGTATGCAACTTGTTATTCTAATTTGGCGGTTAGCAGATCAGAAGTCTGGAATATTCATGAATCATGATAGACCAGTTTTGCTTGTTTTTGGTAGCAATCAGGCCAAAAAATTGGTGACTTGAAGCCTGCCGAAAACTAGGTCACACCCTTGTTCCTACCCTTAGGGTAGGGCGGCCCCCTATAATTTTGAAAAAAAAAATGTATGTGTATGTATGCATATATATCATAAATAATAGGTTTATATTTTGATGGCCACCATAAAACTTAAAACTTAAGCAGCTACATTGGTCGATTTGGGAGAGTAGGGGAGAGACACAACTTGACTTTTAGTCCGCTGTCTGGGTTCGATTCCCACATCAGCATTTGCTCAAATTGTTATTCGATAGTGGTGTCTCTGTCACTTTCAAATTCAAGGTCCGCCTCTGACAACAACAACAACAACAACAATCACATATCAATACAACGTTAAGTATAAGGGGTTGTTTAATATGGTGTATAAGAATAGTAGTGAATATGATGTATTAGTAATGCTAAAATTGTAAATATGACCTCATTGATGGGAAGTGTACAACCGGATAAACATTAAACTATGACCTCATTGATGGGAGCTATGATTCTTCTTATCTATGGAAATAGCAAACAAAAACATGTGTCAGCAAAGTGAAGAAAAGACAAAAGCATATGATCATCCATCACTATGCTATTTTGGCTTATAACTGTAGTTCATTTAGGATATAAATTCTATCGAATCTTGCATGCAATACTCCCTCGAGCAAAATTTACTTTACGCATTTTATTTTTTGTTTTTATTTTTCCCTAGTGATAATTCACTTTATATAGTTACAAACTTAAAATTAAACCTAAATGCTGCAATTTAAGTCTATAATCTCGAGGAAAATTGATTTCGTGCAAACTCGAGTTTTTTTTTTTTTTTTTTTTGGTAATATAAAAGTAACTGAAAAGGAAGAAAAAAATATATCAAGTTCATCACTTTATAGTAGATGCGTTCACAGTAGCATCCTTATCCTAACCAATCAAAACTTTAAAAGGATTTTTGTAAGGTCTACACACCAATTAATACATTATTCTAACTAATCAAACTCTNAAGAAGGTCTGAATTACACAAACAATACAATGCATTTTCTCAACAATAATCTGGTATTTATAAGATCATTTTTTTTCTCCTTCTATTTCTCTGTCACTGCTAAACTTGAGAGAATTTGTTTCTTCTTTTAAGCTAGTGGTACTTTTGTTTCTCAAGTGCAAATTATAAATGACAAAAGGGTTTCCTTTACTCGTATGAATCCATAAAATATTCATGGGGCACCCTATTTAGTCCGTACCATTTAAGTTGTACCCATTTAGATCTTTGATAGTATTAAAAATTTGGTATTGATTTGAAATTGTTTGGTATTAATTGAATGATTGTTCAAAAAAATTTTGTTTGCTTTAGCCGATAAATCGCTCGATAATCGTTAATCCGATACCAATTCGATTATAAATATGTTCTGCCTAATCAAATGCGGCATTGTCACACTTCTATTTGATTGGCCGAAAAGATTTTGTTCTCATCACAACTCTTCTCTTCCACAACTCTAAATAGGGGTTTTCATAACCCATAAAACACACAAGAAGTTATAACAAAAGCAAGAGAGAGCTCGTGGATCAAACGCCGTAAATTTCTCTACAAGTTTCAAGCAATCAAGTTCAAGTTCAAGAAATCGAGTTCAAGCTCAAGAGCAAAGAATAAATCAAGGATCAAGGAGTACGAGTTCAAATCAAAGTTCGTACTAGTTGAATTCAAGATCATCGTTCGTGGCAACAAATATAATTTCAAGATCAAGCTCAAAAGTCCTTGAATTTATGTTGGAAAAGAAGAATAAGATGATTTATAGAGATTGTAACACTCATATTGTTTGAAATCAAATACTACGATTATTGCAAGATTTTTCGGTCTCGATTATTTTCTTGACTCAAAATTGATTATCTACAAACACATCTTTGGTATGTGTATTATCTAATAAATAAAATTGAAGGAGCACTAATGCTTAGAAATACATATGGTAACAGTTATCCCGTCATTTAGATTTCGTGACTGATTAGATTTATATCTCTTAATGTGCGTTTTCTTCTAATTAGTCGGAATTAGAAGTATGCGCAGATTCTTTATCGGACGTTGTTGTCCAAGTAAAAGTAGCATGACATGATTACTAATATTACAAGTTCATCCTTTATGGATAATAGTTTTAAAAAACTAATTTAACTTTGAAGAGTAAACAATTCTGCCAATATTTTGGAGATATATGTTAACATTCGTACTTTTATAATAACTAGTCTCTATGTATGTGCGTTGCACATAATATCAATCAACTATTTATTTGAAAGGATAACAAATTAATTGGTGAAAAAAGAAAAAAAGATAAGTAATTAAACTTAGCAAGATTATATACATGAACACAATCATTGTAATTGAAGCATGTAACATGTAAAATGCAGTAACTTTTCTAGTGCTGAAAATCAATGTTATTAAATTAATAGAATACTTGCATTAAAAATGATTGACTATTGTCTTAACCTTCGAAAAAAAGATTGACTTAATTAAGTTAATTAAACAATATTTTTATTTATAATGTAGAAACACGAATGTGGTTGTATTTTTTAAGACGATATTTTTTTGTGTATGTTCTTTACGTCGCTTTACCTACTATCATCCTGCATCAAGGAATTAGATGGATGCCTTTTCTTTTTATGTATAGTTTTTATTTTTTATTAATAAAATTTCACACGGACATCCGAGTTTGGAAGCTGGATGGCTCCCCTATCAAAAAGTGCAATAAATATATATTACAACCAAAATATAATCTAATATCTAGGATTGTCTTTGGTCCTATCCTATGCTTTATTGTCGTTGCTAAACATAAGAACTTGCATGATCGTCTAGCATGCTTAATTGCTTCTCCAAACAATCTCTTTTTTCGTCTTTAGTGTATGATCACAGTTTAGCTCAGTCGTCATAGCTTAGAATCAAAATCTATTGCCAAAATATCAATCTCAATTTATGCAATTGATCGAAGGTCTCAACCCTCCTACAAATTAATATATAAAAAGATGAATTAAAACGCCCAAATTGGTTATTTAAAATTCGCCAACCCATTGATGCCTTCAGCACTGCATCTTCAATTTAATCCTTGATGCAACGATTTATGACGCAAAAAAACAATGACTCCTTTGTTTGCCACGCAAAATCGTTAAAATTAATTACATCTTGATATCTTTCCTCCGATTCATATGTACTTCACACTCTCTTCAACGAATATTGCAACAAATATATACCCGACAAGAAACGAAAAATTACGTAAATAATTTTGCAAAAGTCAACAAATAAACAACTGAAGAACAGAAGATTTTGTCCAAATATTAGGAATGATAAAGTGGCTAAAAGTATGTGGATTTCACACAACTTCAACTTAAACTCTATCTATCGCAAACTTTAAATATGATAAAAGGTGCATAAAACTAATATGCATGAAGTTTATTATGTCAAAAACATACCTGTCATTCTAGAACATATACGGCGAGAGGTAATGCAGCCTTCACTTTAAAAAGATACCTCTAACATGTAGGCATGTTGCCGTTTGTTAGGGTGTAAACCATGACTTACAACACTACAAGTTCCTCAAACAAAACGGGTTAAAATAGTGAAGAATTGATTGAAAAATAAAAGTAACATAAAATCGCTCTAAATGTACTCATACCAAGTCCAATAATGAACTGAAATAATAGCTTTTTTGATAGGAGTATTTGGCTTATTCTTTTTTTACAAGGGCAATAAATTTAAATCCCTTACAAACTAAAATCCGAATGGTCTTAGATGATAGGTTTGCATGTCGGCAGACTCTTTGATGAGATATCTAGGTTGCTAGTCGGTAGAATCCTTCACAAGTTGATACATAAATTTGATTCATATATAATTAGAACTAAAATAACTTTGTAGGAGTTTACGGTAGCGTATTTTACTGCATATTGGATATATTATTATAATATTGTTAGAATAAAACTAAAGGAACTTCGTACCAACTTAATGTCGATCCGCCTCTATTTACTAAATTGAAAAGGAATTTTATCCTCAGATAATATGTGTGTTGATGTAGAACTTAGATGGGAGTGTTGTATTTTCACTTGTATCCTTTTCTTATGATTGCTTATGAAAATTAATATATAAATAATTAAGGGTATAAAAGTCTAACAATGTTATTAAGCAATTAGTCACTAATATTTAATAAAATTCAATAAATAAGATAGAA